CAGCATTGGGGTGCGTGAGTCAGTAGCGCCAGTACACCAGCCCCTCACCCTCCAAAAAAACTGATCCTTTGAGACAACCCTATTTCACAAGATAATCCCCCTGTTGATAGATAAGTTCTTTAGAATTTCTCTGTTGAAGAGGATGAGGGGAGAGGGCAAAATCCCTGGGAGACCAATTTTTATTCCTCCCCGCGACAAACCACCATCTTGCTCAATGAGGATGCACGAAGTGCCCATCTCAGAATGGTCGTGACCCCCTCCCCCAGACTCCCGGACACAGGCAATGACCGATATTAGCCTGTCAGCTACAACAAAAAGATTTCTGACTGATATTTTCTAAATTGCACCTCTTTTTGAAAGTGAATGGCCACGATACAAGTTGACAGGATACCTAATGAAGACGCACCAATCCCCCCCCCCCCATTCACGACACGAAGAGGCACCATCACAACAGAACAAAAGAGTTTTTCACTCATACTGTTATCAGAACTGTTCAGGAACATAAACACTGTTCTCCCTTTCTTTTGATCTTATCTCTCTCTATGAAAGATCGCATATTCAAGGGATGCACTTTCGCTGACTTTTCGGAATTTTCAGGTCTTTTTTCATCACAGACCCGTATTTTCACAAGCAGTGTCTTTTCAAGCTTCTGGAGAGCAACCAGTAGGCAACAATGATGAGGTATGTCATTGTCAAAAGAAATTGTGAGTTTTCGCAGGGAAAAGTTCTGAACGAGGAGGAGATGCTAAGGTGGTGCTGCTCAGGTGGCTACACCTGACAGCAGGCTACCCTACCTTGTGTCTGCTATCTCCTTTCTTCAGGTTCCCTTGCACACCTTTTCCAGTCTCTAGCAAGACATTCCAACGATTTTTTTCCCTTCAAGTGCAGCGAGGACGACATAGCCAGGACGCGTGCTTTCTCTTCACGGATTAGTCAACTAACACAGAGCTGGTTTCGCCTTTGAGTTGCGGCGACATATGAGCTTTCAAGGGTAGAGATCAGCGATGCTGGTTCCAACCTTTGGAGGCAGTTCTCGTCTTCCAAACCGATGCATCGATGCATCCTCAACGATGCATTGCCGCTCGTTGACTCTTGGAAGCGCGAGGACCACTATTACAACGGGGTCTAGTTTAAGGACAGTTTCGCTCACTGGTGTACCCTTTGAAAGCCCGTGCTTAGGGCGCAAATCAGGAGTTCCGCAACGACGCGAGGGCAGAAGAGTGTTTCCCAGACAGTGGCCGTAATACACTGAAGCATGGATCCCATTGGGTCCTGGTGCGACTACCGCGCACGTAATGCTCCTTGACCATTTTTACCGCATCACCTACTTTAACATGTGCATTGATTTTGAGCGTCTATAATCTTTATTGGAACATTTTCCGAAAAGGCCCGAG